TCATTTTCAATCAGAGATCTGAGAAAATGGTTGTAGTTTAGACATTTCTGAATGAGCTGGATGCAATTCACGACATCTGTACATGTTGAGATTCAGATAAGGCTATGTTAAAGGCATCTTCTTGATTTCGATGACGAGTTCAAAAATAATTGGCTGCGGACGGAAATCGATCCGATCAATTGGTAGATGGATTTGCAGAAAGAACCAATTGGAGAAGAGCAGTTCACGAACAAAAAAAAAATAAATCCTTCGAAAACACCAAAAGATAAATAGAAAAGACAGTCCAATGAACAGCCAATGAAAAGCCAGAGTTTGCCATCACGTGATTCCCCCTATCTTAGCATGCAGTGACTGTGGACATCTCTTCACCTCTAACCTAGGACTCATTTTACCCAGAAGGAATTGTCTATGAACACCCGAAGAATCGGCAAAGACTTCCGCCAACGATGACATCCGCTAGCCATATTAAATGTTGGAAGGCTTCAAGTGATGTGGCTTCTGTTTTTTAATGAAGTTCCTCTAGATTATGTAGCGCCAGTCTATGGGATCTGGGTTAAGAATCGTCTCCATTAAGACATACAGGATTGATTCGGTTGAAACTATTTTTTAATCATTGATCCCAGAAAACGGTTAATTGTTGAGATATTTTAAAATGAATTGGGCGTCTTGCATGACATTCATATGATATAACAAACGCCATAAGAGTTTTTTTGGTCAAAGAAATAGGCTTCTCAAGTCTACAATACGTCAGCGCTCTTTCTATTAAACCACCATTCTTTATGATTCCTTCACATAAAGTCACTCTTAAAAGACATTAAGGAACACGTACTAAGTAATATTTCGAATATGTCATAGTACGCGTGTTAGAAAAAAAAAAAAAAAAAAAAACATGAGCAACATACTGTGCTTAATTTTTAATAACGGTTTAATTAGACGATATCAATTGCAATTTAAATTAAACCTTTAATAAATAATTAGTTTTGAAAACTTTCACTCTGATATATAAATTTTAAATTTAACTTGAAATGAGTTATTTATTTTAATTCTTAGTAACATGTAACTACAGTAGTTAGTCCCTGTTACGTCAGATTGATTATGATTTGCCAAGATCGAAAAACGGACAGACAGACGGACACACATGTACACTGCGCATTATCCATAGGGTTTATTTTCTCGAAGCCTAAACGTGTAAGAATATACATTTTTCTAACAATGAGTTTGGACGAGGTTCAAATGCACTGGCAGGAAATACGCTCGACGTCCTAAAACATCAGTAACATTGATAGATAGATAGATAGATAGATAGATAATGAACATATATATATATATATATATATATATATAGATAGATAGATAGATAGATAGATAATGAAAACACATAGATAGATAGATAGATAGATAGATAGATAGATAGATAAGGAACATAGATAGATAGATATATAGATAGATAGATAGATAATGAACACAAATAGATAGATAGATAGATGGATAGATAGATACGAACAGAGATAGACACGAACTGACTGAGATAGATAGATAGATAGATAGATAGATAGATAGATAGATAGATTAACACCCACATATAGATAGATAGATAGATAGATAGATAGATAGATAGATAGAAGGGAGATGACTTACGCAAGTACAGAACTTTAAAGTAAATAAATAATTGATATAGGTAAATAGAGAAATGCATAGGTAAGTAAATTATTTAATATGTTAAGGTGATTTTCTTCTAGAAGTCTACCTTTTCCTTCATGATATATCTGCCTATCTATCTATAGATTTAACTTGGTCTCTTCATTTGTATCTATCTATATCTGTCTGTTTTCATTTCTCTCTCTCTCTCTATATATATATATATATATATATATAGATAGATAGATAGATAGATATGTCTGTGTGTCTATGTATATATCTATCTCAGCCTGTTTATATCCATTTATCAATAGATTGATCTATCTATATGTCTATCTCTCTCTGTTCAGAAGTGTCTAGCTATAGTTTGTTCACTTCCATCTATCTATATCTATTAACATCTATCTCCCGAGTCTGATTTGCTACCTCTTCGTCACTGAGGCCCAGTGGAACAGTTGGTATGATGTTGGCTTGGTAAACTAACTATCCGGGTTTCAATTCTCGGTAGTGGATGCGCACTGCTGATGAGTCCCAAATATTGGGCGAAACGGCCATCCAGTGCTTTTTGCATTCTGCTGAGGATTCTTTCAGACTCGGTGATTGACAGGTACTGACTTATATATATATATATATTCTTTATGACCCCATCCACATAAAGTCAATCTTAAAAGACAGGGAACCCGGACTATGTAATATTTCGAAAACGCCACAGTACGTATGCTAGTTAATGAAAAACAAAAAAAAACACACATATATGAGCAACGTACCGTGCCCCGCTTAAGTATATCAACATATGCGTTATGTCATCATTTTCCCTTCTAGGCAAATATGCTATCCATTTTAGCTGTTTCTGCTGTTGGAAGTCTTCACTTGATCTTTTATATGCGTTATTTGGTAAACAAATTTGTGATTATGTAGCGCCAGTTTATAAGATCTGGTGAATGATTGTTTTTCTTTAAGATCTAGAGAATTCATTCACTTGAAACCAGTTTTATTCATTGATCTGAGAAAATGGTTGCATCTAAATGATAGCTTAGACACTTATGAACGAGTCGGAACCCATGCCCATATTGCTTGTTGTTGTTGCTGGAATACTCAAGTTCTTTGTGATTCTGAATCCCTAGTGTACGAGATCCGACGAAGCGTAGTCCTTTTTAAGACCTACAGGATTCATTGGCTTGAAGCCGTCTTCTATTCATTGATCTGAGAAAACGATTGTACACAGATGATAGTTTGGACAACTACACGCCGAGAATGACAACGGCAACATTGTGATTATGTAACACAAGTGTACAGTCCTTTTTAAGACCTACAGGATTCATTCGCTTGGACTCATTTTTATTCATGGATCCTAGAATACCGTTGTTATATATTAGACATTTCTGAAGGTGCTGAACGTTATGCATGACATCCATATAAGGGTCCAGATTTGACGAGGCTATGTACGAACATTACTCGAGTATTGACGGAGTCCTCCTTTTAAACCTTTTGCTTAAGGTAGAGTTAACATCTTGTTTATATAATTATTTCCCCTTCGTGTTATATCCGTTAACCATATTGATTGTTACTATCATTAGAAGGCTTCAAGTGGTGGGATTCAAGGTTGTGTGGTAGGTCTACATATGATTTATATTACAGTGGGTTATCAGTTATAGTGAAGTGTATGAGTGTTGAAACAGATGAGTTTGATTTGGCCTTGTTAGTTAGATAGCCCACCATAAGAGGGTATAAAACAAGAAAATCAAATTGTAAAGTGAAACAACAAATTTATATACATATAAATCAATTAAAGTCTCTACAAATAAAATTAATGTATTTTGGTTGATACAAGGTCGTCAAAATGTTCGTAGTAGTCCTTGCAAGAATGAGTTTATGTGTACGTAGGCAGGAACCTATGTGTGGATGTATGTATGTATGTATGAGCGTTATCGTAGGGTGGGAAGTAATCGCTCAGTCTTAAAATGTTCCGTTCTTTTATCAAGTATAAAAGAGGTACGGGAGAAAGGTAGAGATAATAATAACGATCGCTTGACGTTTGTCAAGGGACGTGTTAATACACTCGTCTCCTCTCTGGTGACAGGTGAACTTGCCCGTCTTTTATTTTATTTGTGGGGCTTGAAATGGTCATTTGGGAATTCACTCCCAGATATGATTCAGGCCTTTCCATTGGACGACGAACAAACTTCGCATCGGCTCGCGAAAAGGTCCGTAAAAGTATTTGTTTCTGAGAATTGAAAATTATTTGAAATTTATTTTTAAATGTTTCCTAGTTTTCTATTGGCCGAAAAACATTTCGCATCAAGGTGTGAAATTTCACGAGTTTTGTTTTGGATTCGCTTTTGAGTGTGTGTTAAGCAAAGTTTGTAAATTCGAGTCTTTTTAATTTCTAACAAAATCAATGAGTCAGTGCTTAGCATTTGGTTTTTAAATCTAGATCTTCTTTTGTTCACTACAATGTCATCATTTTCCCGTCTAGATAAATGTGCTATCCATTTTAGATGTTTCTGCAGTTGGAAGTCTTTAGTTTTATATGTGTTATTTGGTAAACGACTTTGAGATTATGTAGCGTCAGTTTGTAAAATCTGGTGCATGATTGTCTTCTTTAAGACCAAGAGGAGTCGTTCGCTTAAAGCCATTTTTATTCATTGATCTGAGAAAACGGTTGTATCTCGCCGATAGCATAGACACTTATGAACGTGTCGGAACCCATGCCCACATTGCTTGTTGTTGTTGTTGGAATACTCAAGTTCTTTGTGATTCTGAATCACGAGTCTACGAGATCCGACGAAGAGCAGTCCTCTTTAAGACTTACAGGATTCATTGACTGGAAACTGTTTTCTATTCATTTGATCTGAGAAAACGGTTGTTTACAGATAGTTTAGACCACTACACGTCAAGAATAATAACTGTGTTAGAATCGAGATCTGACGAGTCTATTTAAGGATTTGACAAGAGTTTTCAGGTTAATATTTCCGTTTTGTGGCATCTTAGGGTGTTAGACAAATCTACCCTTAGAGCAGCCGATTCCATGATTAATTTTCTCCTATACTAAACGTATAAAAATTGATCATGACGCCAAGATATTTGAAGTGTTTAGAGTTTATTAATTCTACATTCTGAATTATAATGATGGATTCGGGGCAGATACCATCCCTACTTTCATTTTAATTAAAGAACATATTTTTATATTTAGAAAAGGTTCAGTCTTGAATCCAACTCATGGATCAATTAGTGACTAACGCTGATTTTTTTTTTGTTCAAGGTCATTATTATACCAACTTTGAAATACATTTTCATCAGCATAGTTCCCACCCTACTACCATAGGATTTTTATTCCGACATTATCGTTCACATCATCACATATGGTTTCGATTTTAGAAGTATCAATCTGATTTACCAAAAAATTGTACTAAACTGATAAATCTATCTATCTCGATCCGTTCATATCTATCTTTTTCTTATCATCTCTCTCTCTCTCTATCTCTCTATCTCTCTGTATATATATATATATATATATATATATATATTGTGTTCATATCTATATATATATCTATATATATATATATATATATCTCAGTGTGCATATCTATCTATCTATCTATCTATCTATCTATCTATCTATCTATCTATCTCGACCCCTTCATATCTATCTCACCTCTATGCATCTCTATCTATCTATCTATATATATATCTATCTATCTATCTATCTATATATCTATCTATCCCCTATCTATCTATCTATCTATCTATCTATGTTACCTCCTTCTGTTCCTCATCTATCTATCTATCTATCTATATATATATCTGTATCTCATTCTGTTTTCTATCTATCTATCTATCTATCTATCTATCTATCTATCTATCTATCTCATTCTGTTTTCATCTATCTATCTATCTATCTATCTATCTATCTATCTATCTCATTCTGTTTTCATTATCTATCTATCTATCTATCTATCTATCTATCTATCTCATTCTGTTCATATCTATCTATCTATCTATCTATCTATCTATCATCTATTCTGTTCATATCTATCTATCTATCTATCTATCTATCTATCTATCTATCTATCTCATTCTGGTTTCATCTATCTATCTATCTATCTATCTATCTATCTATCTATCTATCTATGTCAGTCCGTTCATACCTATCTCGTACGCGCGCCTGTGCGTGTGCGTACGCACCCAGCGTTTGTTTTCGTGTTTACAGACTGGCTACTGTGAAAAGACAGAACATCAACTGATAGACGCGGCCTAGTTTGGGTGTTGTAGTAGTAGTAGTAGTATTAGTTGTTAGTAGTCGTTTCGCAAGTGGAGGAGGGGGGGAGACACTTTAATCATAACTGTCACGCTGATGAGGTCGACACCGACGGCAGAAACACTATTGTAGGAAAAGTGAATTTGCAGAGGAAACGTAACGAGAAACACTGGCGAAAAAGTAATAAATTTAAAGCATAGTCGGAAGGAATTGTGATGGCGGGAAGGCGGTTCGAAAAGAATATTAGGTTTGTATGCGTTGAGTGATGGGGTCTAGAGAAACTAAGAGGCAGTGGAGTTGGATTAGAAGTAGATTTATAATCTTTTTGACTTCTTTTTTTTTCTTCTATGTCGTTCTTTTTCTTCGTGGTAATTCTTCTTTTTCTTCTTCTTCCTCATCTTCGGCCTTCTTCGTCCTTCTTTTCTTCTTCTTCTTCTTCTTCTTCGTCATCCTTCTTTTCTTTTTCTTCTTCTTCTTCTTCGTCGTCCTTCTTTTCTTTTTCTTCTTCTTCTTCTTTGTGTTTCTTTTTTCTTCCTCTTCTTCTTCGTCGTTGTACTTCTTCTTCTTCGTCCTTCTTTTCCTGTTCTTGTTCTTCTTCGTCGTCCTTCTTCTTCTCCAACCTTCTTTTTTCTTTCTCTTTTTCTTCTTGTTGTTGTTCTTCTTCGTCCTTTTCTTCTTCTTCTTCTTCTTCTTCTTCTTCTTCTTCTTCTTCTTCTTCTTCGTCGTCGTCGTCGTCGTCGTCTTCGTCGTCGTCTTCGTCGTCGTCTTTCTTCTTCGTTCTTCTTTCTTTTTCTTCTTCTTCTTCATCTTCGTCCTTATTTTCTTTCTCTTCTTCTTTTTCTTCTGCTTCTTCTTCTTCTTCTTCTCTTTTCTTCTTCGTCCTTCTTTCTTCTTCTTCTTCATTTTCTCCTTCTTTTTCTTTCTTTTCTTCTTTTTATTCTGCCTCTTTTTCTTCCTCCTCCTCTTCTTCGTCCCCTTCTTCTTTTTCTTGTTGTTGTTGTTGTTGTTGTTCTTCTTCTTCTTCTTCTTCTTCTTCTTCTTCTTCTTCTTGTTCTTCTTCTTGTTCTTCTTCTTCATCTTCTCCTTCTTTTTCTTTCTTTTCTTCTTTTTCTTCCTCCTCCTCTTCTTCGTCCCCTTGTTGTTGTTGTTGTTCTTCTTCTTCTTCTTCTTCTACAGTGTGCCGTATCTCTTCAAGACGTAGGTGATGAACAAGCCCCACCCCAGCCCAAATACCTCTAAGTGTTTTTTTGTTGAGGACCACTCGAAGTAGAGTATTAGAGAGTAAGAGTCACACTTAGGCGCATCTGAGGAACATAACGCTTATGTCTAGCCTTGAACAGGTTCAGATTGTAGTGATCGGGGAGCAACCTCTTGCGAGTGTGTACCACAAGGGAGTGGTTTGTAGGAAGAAGCTGTTCGAGTGGAACTTTCATCTCACCAGGGAGATATGGAGGGGATGTTGGGTAGTTCACTACAATGTGAGTAGCATGGTGGGTCTTACCCATAAAGCTCAGGACAGGTGAAACTAAGGAGTATAGTTCATCTGAACACTCTTGGAAATAACGATAAAGCAATGAGAGGCTTGAGACGTCACGCCTGTAAGAAAGGGTTTTCAGGCTGGAAAATAATTGTCACCGATGCTTTTGGATTCGATCGAGACTAGAAAGTGAAATCTGGGCAGCTCCTGTCCATATACCGGGTGTAACATCAAAATTGCCCAAATCGTGTAGCAGCATAATTGTCCACACAAGTTAAAGTATAATATATAAAAACCAACTAAGGTAATTGAGTTTCTTTTTCCCAGGTTTTCAGATAACATAAAGATGAGGACAATAGTCCGAATAATGTAAATAGTGTACATAATACCTCATCTAAGAAATATAGACAGACATTGAAAGGCCGAAACGTTGTGATAAATATGTCGACAAAGATGAGGACAATAGTCTGAATAATGTAAATAGTGTACATAATACGTCATCTCAGAAATATAGACAGATACTGAAAGGCAGAAACGTTGTAATAAATATGGCGACAAAGATAAGGACAATAGTCCGAATAATATAAATAGTGTAGATAATACCTCATCTCAGAAATATAGACAGATACTGAAGGGCTGAAACGTTGTGATAAATATGGCGACAAACATGAGGACAATAGTCCGAATAATGTAAATAGTGTACATAATACCTCACCTCAGAAATATAGACAGATACTGAAGGGCCGAAACGTTGTAAAAATATGAAGGACAAAGAAGGACAATAGTCCGAATAATGTAAATAAATAAAATGATCTCAAAAATATAGACAGATACAAAGGCCGAAACTTTGATAAATATGTCGACAAAGATGAGGACAATAGTCGAATAATGTAAATAGTGTACATAAAACCTGATCTCTGAAAAAAATATAGACAAAGATACTGAAAAGGCCGAAACTTTCTCAGAAATATAAATATGTTGTAATAAATATGGCGATAAAGATGAGGGCAAAGTCCGAATAATGTAAATAGTGGACATAATACCTCATCAGAAATATATACTGAAAGGCCGAAACGTTGTAATAAATATGGAGACAAAGATACCATATTCGAATAATGTAAATAATAATACCTCATCACAGAAATATAGACAGATACTGAAAGGCCGAAACGTTGTAATAAATATGGCGACAAAGATGAGGAGAATACCTCTATAACTCTAACGTCTCCACCTAAACTCTTAAATTGTATCTTCTAATTATATTTTCTTTTCTCTACAATAGGAATAGATAGTTTCGCCTCCAGCGCGGTTCTCACCCCTCTGTGCTATTTTGAACAGGAATAGTGGTTTATCCCTTGTTCCCTCTTTAGGATTGGGTTTCCGGTTCCTTTTACAGCCGTTTCATTCCATTTCTCTTGCGTCTTAGTGGCATTATCGCCTTGCTTGGGGTGAAATGAACGAATTTACAAATATCCACAATGAGAAATGAAAATGTGCTGTGATTTCTCTCTACCTTTACTATAAGTATTTTCACGGCAACTGCTCCGACGGTCTCCCCAACTGCATGAATTTAAGCGTGCTAGTAGGTGGGTACCTCAATCCCACCCTTTCACTGTCGCAGCGGTTAAATATAGCCATCTCTTCTACTCCAACGGCTTCTTATCTCGCACTTCCCGTCTGTGGAACTCCCTTCCTCTTACTTGCTTCCCTGATAGCTATAATCTTCAAATATTCAGATGAAATGTCAATCGACATCTTCCGTTGCCATATAAGGTCTGATGCCCCCGCTGTTCATCTCGAGGTTCTTGACAAAATCCAGAGACGGATATGCAATGTGATAGGACTTGATCTGGCATCTCGTCTACAGTCGCTTTCTTACAAGCGTGCTGTGGCTTTCCTCTGTCTTTTCTACAAATATTTTCATGGCAACTGCTCTGACGAGCTACTTTTACTGGTACCCCAACTGCATGAATTTAAGCGTGCTACTAGGTTGGCATTTCGGTCCCACCCTTTCACTGTTGAAACGGTTAAATGTAACCGTCTCTTCTACTCCAACAGCTTTTTCTCTCACACCTCCCAACAGTGTAACTCCCTTCCTCTTACTTACTTCCCTGATAGCTATAATCTTCATATATCTAAATGTAATATCAATCGATATCTTCTGATGCCTTAATCCTGATCCCCGTCCTTCTCTATATTCTTTCCTCAAAACCCCCTCTTTACACTTGCTCTCAGTCTCTGTAACCTCTTTTGTGCTAGTGTCACTCCCGCCTTGCTTGGTATGATATGCTTTAAAAAAACCCTCTTATATGGTAGGGAATGCTGAATAATCTCCCCATAGAAAAATGAAGGCAACGGAAATGTGGTTCTACAGAAGGATACTGAGAATTCCAAGGACGGAGCGAGTAAGCAACCAGAAAGTTTCAAAGAAAAAACGGACACATATTCAGAATCAGGAAGAGACAGTTGGTATTTCTTGTACACATAATGAGAAAGGAGAGTTTGGTAAATCTGATCCTCATAAGGCACATTGGGGGGGATATAGATATAGGGGTTGGATTGAACCACCTACCCGAGAGGCATATGTGATGTATTCAAAAACGGAGGGCAGGATAAGAATTTTTGAAGAGCCATGATCGCCCACGTTCGGAAGGGATTTGTAATGTTCATTTCCAAGATGAAAGAGCCTCTTGACTTGGCACAATGTAGAATCCTTTTTTTCTCCCTTGCAAAGTCCAGTTTAGTAACTGTCAATATTGAACCAGTTCGCTATTCATATCCAGCTCCCTCAGTCGTCCATTTCAGTATAGTCCTGGGTACGACGATAAACTACATCCAGCAACAAGGCCTTTGATTGAGAGATTGGAGGTTTTGAGCAACGTGGAAATAAATTGCTGTTATTACTAGGTCCATCCTGATCCGAGGTGTTAGCAACTGTTAGAATCCCAGATATATAATAGCGAACCCCCAAGCAAAAACAACTCTATCTCTATCTATAAAAGACAGGATGTGTGTGTGTGTGTGTGTGTGTGTACCGAATGCACGGCCGCAATTTTCGAAGGATTTGCACCAAAATTTACATGCACATGCTCCAAGTTAGCGGGAAGGCCAAGACCGACTTTGCATTTCCCAACTCCCATCTTAGTGGAAATAATCCATTTTTCATGCTTCTACGGCAGTTTTCATGTAGTTTGCGGCTATTTTGTACTGGCCAGAGTGAGAGCCAATAGATGGCTGTCACGAATAGGCAGGAAGATTCTATTGACCAACGTGAGGGCCAACAGCTGACTGACACGAATGTTAACTAGCATGCTAGCATGCAAAAAAAAAATCGATAGCTGCATTCGTCACAAGTGGGAAAAATTTAAATCTGCATGGCACTTTACTCCAATTGGCCCATTCGCTTGCTTAAACTCAACGTTTATTCTAATTCCGCAGAACTGGGTTGGATGTGAAAAAGTATTTGTTGTTAACATTCTTTTTTCATTCGGTTTTTGCAGTTACGAGTCCTTTTTTTAAAGCT